CTATCTACAGGTACGCGTATTGTAATTTTATGCTCATATATTATCCAAAACCAGGAAGTATCTTATTTCCTAAAGCTGTAAATCATATGTACGATTATTCGTGAATAAAATGTTTTTAATTTACCTCCAGTGTTACGTATTGACTAGATGAAAATAGACAAGCACTTTCTCTTTAGCATTTAACAATTGTTCAAACAATAGCTAACAAAAGCCTTTAGATCCATTTGCTATAATCTTTTATAATTATCAAATACAATTTCTTTTATAGCTATTATCGGTTGAAGTTAAATAAGTTTCATCAGGAATCAATTGTTCACAGACTCATTGTTGTTTCCAGTCGTTTTGTTGAAATTAAGGCTGTTGAAATTCATACTGTCTCAATCATTTCTGCACGACTCTATTTTTATTGCAATATTCGACTGCGACTCTATTTTTATTGCAATATTTTAAAACTGTTATTTCTAAACCAAGACTTGTTGAGTAGGAGCTACAAAATCTCGACTATCGCAGAAAAGTAGCCGAGTGATCGGATACATTTCGGGGAATGTGCGCAGGAACTTTTCAATATAGTTCCACCCTCACCGTTCCTTTTACGGTCGACTAGAAGGTGCGGAACACTCCATCCTTAAGTCGGTGATATACCACTCATTCGCATTAAATGCTTTGCTTCGTCCTTTCTGATGCGTACGGCAAAGGAATGAAATACTCTACGGCGTCTGTATTTCCCGAAAAGTTAAATTTGGGACTACTCAAACACGGACCATCGTCACTTAACATCAGTGAGATTATTTATGTATAAAAAAATCTTCCTTCTTATTTTATGCACTTATTTTAATATAAAACAACTGTTTTTAACCTATGAAAAATAATAAATGTTTCGAAAAGAGAAGCTAATAAACACAGAATATACCGACAAATTTAACAATATTTATCAAATGACCATGAATTCATTCAAAATAATATGCTTATCTTCCAAAAGAAATACTAAATTACCTATTTACGTATTTAATATTTCCGTATCATACGGAATACTTTAAAAAGCACTTAAGCTTATGAAACATATAACGTCGATTTTAAATTTCTAATAGGCGATTTACGATAAAAATGATTACCAATAATTTTCGGTAAAACATAAATAAAATTTAGTAGTGTATAAGTATTACGTCAGCAAGACTTTTCGGAAATTCCAGTTTTTTTCGGAGGTTTCCGTATTTTTATTTGCGGAAAAGTTTTCAGTACCTTAGTCTATTAACGAAGTAATATTCTTAATTTGATTAAGCTTATTTTTAATTTCCTTTTTAGAGCTTTTACCTCCGTGGTCGAGTGGCTGGCACACCGGTTTTCATGGTGTCGCTATCTTTGAGGTCCCGGGTTCAATCCTGGACCGGCTCAATGAAGACAAACCAACTTTCCTATATTATCTCCGAGCTGGGTATTTGTGGAATCGTCGTTGTTTCGGATTTCCACAAGTCACAAGTGATTAAGTTACTCACTTTGAGATTATTATTATTATTTTATTTAGTATATACAGTGACCCTTCATCTATTAAGCCGGTTCTAACTCACTAGCGCGTTGTAACCGTAACCGCATGTTGCATGTTACGTTACCAAAAATCACAGTGTGTACGTGGTACGCGAACTTGTCGCGAACGGAACACGTGCTGTTCGCAGTGAGCCGACGATAACCAGGTACTCACTCTAGCGCGTGAAGACTGCTTCACACGTATACACTAGAACCTCGTTACTGTATCTGTCAACAAACTGATACAGCTTGCTAATGAGTACCCGGCTCAAGATAGTTCGTAAGCAATATTCATTAATAATTATATTTTTGAATAGTACACTTTTCGACTTGCCACTCTATGGTCTTTCTTTAAATTTCTTTTAGCTTTTTAATCTTCTTTTCACATACGCTATGCTTTTTTCGCGTGTCCAAATCATACTGAACCTGATGTCTTTTAAAGGCCGCATTCTCCGACTCCAAATTACACAACGTACCTGTAACAATTACACCATTCAATTAGCATTAACAACACTATCGTAAGAACAATTTTCTGTGCATTAAGCGTAATACGAACGTAATAAACATTTACTGTACTTAATTTAATTGGTGGTTCAGTACAATTAAGTTCATGTAATATTTTCTAACTGTTTAATTGCTAGAACGTCGGCTATCACGACGTGTCAAGAATATAGACGGAATAGTCGTGATTTAACTTAATTTGAGAGAAATTTGTTAATTGCTTTTAATTATTTTGTTCAGAAAATAATAGCTTATAAATAAATAACGCACCCACTTGTTGAGTTGCGGACACCAGCCCGTTGCACCAAGTACCAAGTATCAAGTAACGCACCCACTCAAAGCCCCGCACTAAGGAAGCCCTACCGCCGGCGCCATGGACACACACATATAGACAACCACAAATTAGAATAGCATGCAACGCCACAACACATAGATAATATATAGACACAAAAAAAAATGATAACAGAGACAAGCGAAACAAAATACAAATAATTAATAAACAAAATAAAAATACAATATAAAATCAAACAATACTGACAAATAAACAAAAATACGGACTATTTCAAATTTTGTACTGTCATTTGTACGGTTGTTACGTACGCAAAAGGACTTTATTCAACATAAGCCACAGCATAATAGACTTTGGCGCTGGTTTTCAATGAGCGCGTAACACACAGACGTAAACTACTTAAATATTTGTGTATGATTATCATACTTTTACGATGTATAAAATTATTACAATCATGTAGCAATTTCTGTCGGCTATAAATATTAGTCATAGGCAAAGGCCAATGGCAATGGCGAATAACATAACAATTATAGATTGACATTATCGTCCATCTAAATAGTATAATTTCTGTTATGGCAAGTGTCAGTTTACAATACACTTACATAAGAGATCGTGTGGACTTTTGATTATACAGTTATGCAAGATTTTTATATCAATATTGACATGTTAATAATTGTGGCCCTATTTTTTTTATATTATTTGTAATTTCATTGTCATGTAGGTCGATTTTTGTTACTAATTGTTCTGAATGCCACAATATTCTTTAAAATTAGGACTAAAAGGCCCTATATACAGGACGATCCGTCTTCACGATCAGTAAGTAGCGACGAATCGATATGATTATTTTGACGACTGATGGAATGGTCTGTATAAAAGGGTCTTTAAGCCAATTGTCGATCAAAATGGGGAGAAAAAGAGTTTAATGTAGCAAAGAAGCTCAAAAGATTTTGTTATTTTCACTATATTTGTATGGCGTACATTTATTTCTCTTGAGTTTGGGTGTAATTTGTGGTTGTCTATGTGTGTCCATGGCACACGCGATACAGGGTTTCCCTAGTGCGTATGTAAGTGTAAATATTATGTTATATACAAACTGAATATGTGATATATCAAAAATACAATACAATGTCACAGGTAGTAACCTCGTCGACCTTTTACCTAAAAACTTTCAAAAAGTGCCAATCAAACCGACGCACTACTTCTTAAGGTCAAATGAGGTAAATATTAAATAACACCACTTACATAATTTCATTTCATTTGTTTTACGTTCATTGCGTTTGTGTACACAACGACACTATGATCTATTTTTAGTATTATCAAAATGGGCAAAAAGGTAGCTACGGTGAACCCCATATTAAGATACAGGTTGTCAAAATTTTACCGTTTTTATGGCATTTAAGTTACAGTTTTGTATCTGCAGAGCTCCTTGTGAAAGGATGCGTTGAGAGAAGGGCTGCCACCTTACCTATTTCTGCCGTCAAGCAGTGACGTGAGCTTTCTGGTTTTGAAGGGTACTGGTGAAATTACAGGCATATGGGACTTATTAAATTATGTCTCAGGGTGACGAGCGCATTGAGGCTGCCTCTTAGATCTTTGCTATTTAAAGCTCTGGGTGGCTGCAACTGCTGTGGACAGGCGTGTTGCTTACCACCAGGTGCACGAATCGTTTGTTCCGTCACTTGGTATTATACAAAAATATATTTCTTATCAAAATACGGAAGCTACGATGAACGATACAGTGGATGAAAGATACAGCGTGTCAAAATTCTTTGTTGAAAATTTTACCGATTTTCTGTACGGCGTTTTTTGTAGTTCAACAAAGTGACAGTTCGTATAGATTAACCTGGAGCTGAGCGTACGTAAAGTCTTCATATTACATCGTTAGAATCTAGGCAGGGCTCCTCATTAACTGAAACTATAGCCTGTTTCATAATTGCCTAGTAAATTGATACAATATTCCTTCATAGGAGATGTGTAAGAACATAATAAAGCATAATTGGTAGTGCCTTCTTGGACATCGTGGGTACTGGCCGGCGGTAATAGATTTGATGCTCATGTTTTTTTAAATTAATTATAAAATAGAAAAAAACAAATTCCATGAAAAATCTAACTATTTCGACATATGCTGCATTTCGAGTTCTTAGGTTTTCGCGATTGTTACACATAGGAAATGAAACTATTTTTCCGGATTTAAATCGCGTATATTTGTTTTTTCAAACAAACCGATGTTTCGTGTAACGCGATTTAAATTCGGAAAAATAGTTCCATTTCTTATATGCTGCATTCCTTGTAAAAAATTTAAAATGCACTCTGCATCACCACATGGAGTCAATTTTATTTGCCGATGTTAACAATAGTGAAGAATTGATTTGTGAAATAAAGTGTCTTTTTAAAGATTTTTTAATATCTAGTGACGGGACAAGCACGCCTGGTAATAAGCAACACGTCTGTCCATAGCAGTTGTAGTGCCACTCAGAGCTTTAACTCGCAAACATCTGTCTACCACTGCGCCCTTCACACTGAGACGTAAGTTAACAAGTTCCATATGCCTGTAGTTTCACCAGCATCCCTACTCTTCAAAACCGTATCACAGTAATGCTTACGTTACATCTTGGCGGCAGAAATATAGACATAATATTTTTCTGGACCAACTCTTTCACATGAAACTCTACTGCAGTGTTTCAGCACGATATTACGACTGCCGTAGCTTAGTTGGCAGAGCGGTAGCCACGTTGAGGCAACAGTCGCAGGGTGAAATCGAGTTGGTTCGAAGGAATTTTTCTTCTTGTTAATTCGATCTTTCTGTCAGTAATAGTGTAGTATTTTCACAAGAAATAGATAAAAACAAAATGTTACAAAATAAAATTACAGCTACAACAAGCTATCAGACATCCTCCGATAGTAACCGAAGTGTAATAACAAACACCTTAGGTCATTGAATTGAATTAGGAAATTGAATTAGGTCATTGAATGAAAAATGAATTCCTGTGCACAAGATACATTAAGCCACAAAAGTTCAATGTGCACCTCGTATATTCCGTTCAAGTATTTCAAAGTCATATAAATTAGAATAAAGCACTGGAGCCATAGATTGTGCAAGATGCAGTCACCTGGCTGCACATCCGGCAGAGTATCATTATTCAAGTTGGATTATTTGTTTCCACTGTTCTCCGATACGGTACAATAAAATACGAACAGCTATTTGGAATTCCCTTCCTGCAAACTATTATTTGATAACCTCATTGGTCGAGTGTTTTCATGACGTCGCTATGTTTGACGTCCCGAGTTCTATCCCCGGCCGGGCTAATGTAGAAAAACTGACTTTACTATATAGTCTCAGGTGTGGGTGTTTGTCGCTGTTTCCGATTTCCATAATACAAGTTCTTTAGTTACATATTTTGACATCAAAGCAACGATGATGTTGTCTAATATTTCACAACAATAATAACGCTCACACTTATAACCCATTGCGGAAAACCGCGGGTGCAACAAGAAGAACAAGTCATACGCCTGGTGGAAAGCGACATGCCTGTTCATAACTGTTGCAGTGCCACTCAGGGCTTTAAATCGCAAAGATCTGAGGGGCACTCCCACGGCGCCCGTCACCCTGAGACATAAGGTGACAAGTCCCATGTGCCTGTAATTTTACCGGCATCCTTATCCTTAAAAAACGGAATACAGTAATGAGATCACAAACGGCTTGGTGGCAGAAATAGATGGCAGTACTTCACTAGGCGAACTTTTTCACAGGGAACTCGACTGCTTTTTATAGGTCAAGTGCGCACTTAATTTTTTATTTAAAAAATGCAATGTTTCGAACATTGTCGTGGTTGATACGAAATTCTTCAGCAAGGTCGCACATACTCTCGTACATAATAACTATCGATATTTTCAATTGAATATCGGTCTTCCTACTCTAGCGATCGTTGCAGTTATTCATAGAAGATGTATAGTCCGATTTGCTGGATAGAATATACAATTTTAAACTTTCGTGTTGCTATGATTATTAATACAAAGATCGAACACAAAGAAAAATCCCTTCGATTTGACATCACTCGAACCTGTGTGTATTTGTCAATTTAGGACAACCGCTCTACAAACTGCGCTACAGATCGTGTCATCAGACCTTATGAATTTTATTTGTTTTTGGTTTTAACGGCGTTGTTCGCGTTTTAAAACGGCCATAAAACGCGATTAAGCAATTTACTAGGTTTTTCTCTATGCGTATAGTAAAGAACGTTATTTTTTGGTTTTAACGGGGCTTTGTTCGCGTTGCATTATACTAACATTTCATAACGGGAATAAACGAGATTGAACAATTTAATAGGTATTTGCACACGTCAATTATTATTTTTTTATTTAGCCTAAAAATGTATAAATATATTTTATTGCTATGTACATATTATTAATATCTAAGCATACATTATTAGTATTGAATGTGAAGTATATTTATTTGACAGTCTACATTAGAAGATATTTTTGGTTGCGCCTCCTTTCCAAGTCTAAAATTTCTATCTTAAGGTTGCCTGGAAGAAATTGCTACATAGCAATAAGGCCGCATGTTGTAAATTAGCTTATTCTGTTATACTTATATTGCTTTACTGCACTACTTTATCAATTTCATTCATTCATTCAATAACGTCGCAAAGAAGATATCATTACGTTTATAGAAATGGAAACAAGACGGACGCAGCATGGTACCATGCGCAGCGACAGTCTACCTTGTAATACACTGCAAAATATCACTGGTACTTATGATATTTCAAATTATTTATGTCACCGGCATGTGCTTAAAGGAATTCGATGCAGTTTTATAAGACAGAAACAAGTAAATGTTAGAAAGTAACAATAATATAGTAAAATTGTGCAAATTCGTATTGCGATCAGCGCAGGATCGTGTCGTTATAGCGATCTTTTGAGAGGCCCACATCTTTCGAGAGAAATGCTGATGATAAATGTAGAAAACAACCACACATATACCTGGTCTAAAACCTAAGGATTTCCATGTACGGACAACGGCAGACCAGACTACACATTTTTGTTCGAAAATCGCCTCCAGTGCAACGGAACAAGATACGTTAATGTGTAGCTTGTACTTTAAATACCAGATAAAATTGTAATATTGAAAGGAACTTTCACTGAATTACTGTGCCACTGATATAGAAGACAATTAAAGAATAATTTAGAGCTTATTCAAAGGAGTTACAAAAGATAAAACAACAACACGCTCCAGAATGAAAGTGACCAAACACAAAATCTTAACCTATCAAATACACAAAATAAGGTTTGAAATTGTGACAATTTTGTATTATTTAATTTATTGCTCATGAGGTACCAAAGATAATGGCCTCGTCAGTACCGAAAAACTACTGGTTTTTATAAATAGTGGTGGTAAGCGACGTGTCTGTATGACAGTTGCTATGTTGTTCAGAGCTTTAATCGCAAATATTTGAAGGTCACTGCCCCTGCGCCCGTCACCCTCAGACAAAATGAAAAGTTCCATGTGCCTGTAATTTCACCAGCAACCTAACCCTTCAAAACCGAAACGCACATTACTGCTTGTCAACAGAAATGGACAGGGAAACTAATCAAATCTGCAGTGGCAGTTGTGGTGTCTCTCCCCAGACTATGGCACATCTTTTATCTTGTCCTGCGTGCCACTACACCTGCACAGGCGAGGACCTGTACAACGCAACAAATTTGTAACAATCGTGAAATCTATGAACTCGATAAAATAGAATATAATTAATTTATTTTAAATACAAAGTCGGACAGTATACGCACTTCAAAGTGAAGCAGTATGGATTTTAACAAAAATAATGACCAGCTGTCGGAACTTGGTATCTTGTTGTATTTGCTTATAAAATTTATAGCTACGTAGATGATTTATTCTAACTAGATGTCAAGGAAACGATCACTGCCTACATAGACGATTTAAGTACTAAATACCGGTAGCAGCATACCTTCATTCGATTTCTAGTTAAATTAATTATTTCAGATAGACAGACAGATAAATTCTAGTTTATTGAATACCGCCACACCGTATTAAGTAAAGGACGTAATGGTATTAGATAATTTTAAGAGGAAAATTCTTTCGATATGCCTGTACTCAAACCAGCGTCTGTGCCATGTTGCGGCATGCCAGGGCCACTACTTCAGATCTTACCAATTTCCCTATAATATGTTTGTTTGGATTTAATCGGTTTGTTTCGCCGTCATCGCGCCTGTAAGCAACTTATGACGTTACTCTTCTGCTACCAGAAACTGACGAGAGATGTCGCTTTATTCATTTATTTAATAATAATGAGTAACAATTAATAACACACTAGTAGATAATTTTTACAAAAAAAATATGAAATAACATCATGATCCATACTATTAATATTATAAATGCGAAGTAACAGTGTTTGTTATGTTTTCACCCTTTAACCGCTGAACCAAATTTTACGAAATTTGGTTTAGAAATAGGTTTGGTTTATTAGAAGGGTAATAAGGGTGCTGGTGAAATTACAGGCAAATGGAAATTGTCACCTTGTTTCTGGGTGACGGTTTTTTTTTTTTTTTTTTTTTTTTTTATACTTGACAGGCAAATGACTCCACTCCACCTGATGTTAAGTGGAAAGTGGTATCCAAACGCGAAGGAACCTAGTGCAGCGATGAAACCCTCACTGCACTAGCCACCTCCACCCTGCCTGCCTACAATATGCCTCGTTTGAAGGACCCCATATCATAAGAGGGAGGGAAGACATGTGCCGGAAGGGAGTTCCATTTGTCAACCGTGCGGCAGAGAAAGGAGCCACCAAACCTTTTAGTACGCGATGGAATGCGGCAGGTAGTGAGTGGTGAGGGGTGCATCGGCAGTGCTCATAACATCTTTGCGATATAAACGTATGAATGATACTGCGACTGTTATGCAAAGGCGTGTCGCTTACCACCAAGCACACGACTTGTTCGTCTCTTCACTTGGTATTATAAAAAACGATGGGACCTAGGAGACTTACTTTTTTTTTTACTTTTTCTGACAAAAAATAAATCTTAAAGGGGGTGAAATGGAGGACGAAATTTTGTATAGGGGACCAATTATTTTTCAAGTAAGTAGTACAGTAGGGTACTCGAAGTACTTCTACGCAAATGAAGGCGCGGGCACAAGCGACTATTTAATAAATAGATAACTACCCTTTGTCACTATTTTTATAGCTTTTCTAACTCTACTAACAGCGATGCAACAATTTTTAACCGACTTCAAAAACGGAGATTCTCAATTCGACTTTTTTGTGTATATGTTACGCGATTACTCCGTCAGTTTTGAACCGATTTTGTTGATTTTTTTTTTTGTTGGAAAGAGGGTACTTCACTATTGGTCTCATTTAAATTTGAAGAGAATATTCTACCATTAAGAGTCGTAAACTAGGGGAGAATCCGGCTTCGCGCACTTTCCGGTAACCGATCGTTAAATTTTTAGTTTCACTTTGTATATACATGTAAGCAAAGTTTGACGTCGGTTCCTTTTTGTTTAGTAAAAATTATTAAGATATGTTATCATTTTGATTGCGACCCAAAAAGATAACCATACGATATTCTTTCAATTAATCATTTTTTTAATTTGTGATATGTAATTTAATATCCTTAGAACCATTTATTCCTAGTAGCTCCATATGTACTTTGTTCCACGTGGAACTGCTGCAGTTAATCGGTACGATTAACGTCTTAACTAAGCTTAGAAAAAGAATTGAAACAGTGAAGATACGTCAAAACCCGTATTGACTCCAACTCCAATTTTAAACGTTTGTAGACCTTGATTTGATGTCGGCCTGTATTTCTAGTTCTATTACGGTAACTTGCCGTATCTTATTTAAAATACCAACGTAATTAGTTGACTAAAAAATACCATAGATATTTCCCAACATAGTCCATAAAATATTTTGTATAGGATTGAGCCCACCGTGCAACTAAAACATTTAACAGACATCTGTATGACAGAATTCAATAAAACATTTCTGATAATTTTAAACACGCCGTATAAATTTATAGGCGCAACTTTTTAATTTGCGAAATGTAATATAAAATCCTCCAAAAACCATGTATTCCTAGTAGCTCCATATGTACTTAGTTCCACGTAGAACTACACTAATACAGTATTTTACAACTTTGATGAAAATTTATTATAAGTACACATTACAACTTAGAAAATAAAATTTTGAATCGGAGTATGTAAACAAACTTTTTTCGTCAGCATTATAAAAACGGCCTCTGACGATTCGTAAGTCTACAGAATTTCTAGCACAGCCGACGACCACCGACAGCCACACAACGACCCCTCCCATTTAATATTAAAATTTAACCAATTGCAGGACGACAACGATCACTGCACCCATACATCGCTACGTGCTCGTCTGCGTTACCAAGGACGACCCTCTGCCCTTTGTGCACAAGTGCGAGTTCGTGCGAGCTAATCGGTAAAATCACGGACCCGTAAGTGGCCGTTTTAAATGGCGTCCATTCGTGCTAAAAGAGACAATATGGGTTGACGTAGTGCATTCATGTGTACGTTTATTTATATGGACAGAACTCGGGACTACCCATTTCCACCGCAAAGCTACATTAAACGTTGAAGCAGTTCGACACGATAAGAAGAACTATATCGCCCTGTTCCGGATTACGATGTAGAGAAAGCCAGGACAATCACTGGCACAGAAGACTTAAGGCCTTATGTCCTGTAGCTGACAGCGCTTTTTCGATATTAAAAATACTTCCTTGTAATCTATAGGCAATACTTATATCTTTCCATCAGGTAGACCGTTCGACAGTTTCCCGATTGGAATAATAAAGAATATAAAGAATAACTTAAACATTTTTCAAAAACGTTTCGACGTCAATTCTGCACCTTGTCACCAATAAAGAGAAACCACAATTTAATCACGTACCCAATTTCAATTATGGTTTAACTGTAGTTTCAATCAGCTGCGGTTCATATTCAATTAACATCGAAATAATAAAGCATCAATGTCACTTGTGTCACTGCATAAATCAAGAGAACCTTGAGAACTCTCGTGTGAAACATATTACGCTTGATTATAGTATTTATTTGCTGTTTCTGTAGCCCTATTGCTAAATATAGACTCAATAGTCGTTTCTACCGAGCCGAGAATACCTGTGTTAGAATGAATGAGATTTACTGAATATAAAAAAATACACTCATGCCACTAAAGCAATGTGTTACAGCAACCAATCATATTAATTGGTAAAGCGCTATATTTCTCCGCTTCGCTGTAATAGAGATTAAAAACTAAAATTACAATACAAATTACAACATAAAATTCTGACCTCATTGTAGCTGGTAATCATCATGACAAACAATTTTAGAAAAAAAAAATTCGTAAAAATTATTCTGTTTCGGAATACTAATTTCCAATTGATCGCATATATTGTATTAACTAAAAATTATCATGAAAAAGCTCGTGGAATTCTGTTTGGTCTATCTGTAACATCCATTTTGTTCTTGAAAATTATGCAAGATTTAATCTCGCTAATTCTATAAGCAAAAACTGATTGTAGAGACTGAAAAGGTTATACTCAAGGCAAGTTTTCTAGCCTATGACAAGAAGTGTCAAACAAACTTTAATTATTGTTATAATTATGCCTACAAATCTCGCGTGACATAAATTAGATATAAACCTCTGTTCAGTCATATTTCAAGGTGGTTTGATATAATTTGTGGTTAGATTCTGTTATAATTTGTGTATTGGGTGTTGGTATCTATTTGATTTAGGAAGGTTTTTGTTTAAATTATAACCCAACTAAAGGGTGTCAAGCTATAATAAATAGAACTTATTCACCAAAGTTTTGCAAGACAAACAGAATGTTGAAAGTTGGCAGCATATATATAATTAAATATTATATTTTTTCTTTTTTTTTTAAGTGATGGGACGGTCGTGCGCCTGATGCCATGCCTGTCCAGAACAGTTGCAGTGCCATTCAGAGCTTTAAAACACAAAGATTTGAAGGCCACTGTCACTGCGCCCGTCACCCTGAGACTGGTTGATTAGTCTCATGTGCCTGTAATTTCACCAGCACCCTTGCCTTTCAAAACTGGAACGCAGTAATGCTCACATTACAGCTTGGCGGTAAGAATAGGTAATGTGACATTACCTCCTTGGACGAACTCTTTCACAAGAAGCTCTACTGCTAAATCTCACTGTGGGTAATGGTTTGACCGAAAACAACGTGAAAACAATGGGAAAAGCGCTAAACGCTCAATATACATTAAAATATACTAAATACAATTATACATGCTTCAATCCCAACAAGTATGCCCTCAGTTTTATATATATCGTATTTTTCTACATATGGTCACAAAGAACATACAGCGATAAATTTTGAATGGGATATTTATTTCTTTATCTATTTATTTCTTTATTTTATTGCGTCATGGATAGCACAAAGAAATATATCTCGTACAGACATGAACCCTATAGTACCTTAACAAAAAATCCAAGTTATATTGTCTGTGAAAAACTTTCGCGGTAACGAATTCAATACCTTAGGCGGACGCGTTAAGAAATGAGAAGCCAAATCGTTTCATATTGGTGGTATATCCATATTGCATGTAGTTCCATTGTGATAGATAGTAACTTACTTTATCTTCTTAAGCAGCCAACATCAAAAGATTGTGTAGTGAACTTACCTGAAAGAAATCAAATTAACAATTAGTTAAATAACACTACAAAATGGATAATAATTCACAAATTCATTTATTTCTGAAACACAGGTTGCATAGAAGTTGACATGTAACAAAATGAATTTTGTTTTATTGTATCCTGTCAAACATTAGGTGTGCAAACATATTAAAGATATATTACACATAATCTTTGTATTATTCATTATAACAAAACTAGTGTAGTAATTTCACAAAAAATAATTGAATATTACGGTGGTGAAATATCCTGACGTTCAATAAAATATTTAGGTATATTATACATTTATTCACATGCTTTATTGAAGTCAATAAACTAAACTAAGTATTTTAGTAGTAATAAGTCAGAAGTAGTAGTAGTAAGTCCTTGTGAAAGATTTCGCCCGGGGAAGTACTTCTGCCTTACCTATTTCTGCCGCCAAACAGTAGTAATTGTGGTAGTAATGTGCAATATTGCACTCCGATTTCGAAGGGTAAGCACGTGCGTATTCATTCCGAATCCGAGAAATGACAGTCCGAAATATCACAAGGATTTTTTTTTATCTCTAGATGTACAAGCGATAGTCGTATTTTCTCGGATTCGTATAGGATTTAGTGCACAAGTGACATCCGAGTTTTCGAGATTTGTCCGAGACTATGATTTGGAACTAATACGTATCGGATGCAATATGCAAACGCGCTAAGGGTGCTGGTGTAATATGTGACGGTGTGACGGGCGCATTGGCAGTGCCCCTCAGATCTGTGCGATTTAAAATTTTGGGCTGCAACTGCTATGGAAAGGCATGCCGCTTATCACCAGACTCACGACTTGTGCGTCCCGTCACTTGATATCATAAAAAAAGAAAAAAAAGTAGAAAGTAAAAAAAAATCATGATATTTATTATTTATTCGTTTACATAGAGGTTTATAAACAAGTGTCTAAGAAACAAAATCCAAAATATTCATAAGTAGAACAATGTTAAATAATAAGAGTAATAATAATAATTAGCATATATTATCGTCTTAAGAGGAGGTAGGTTAGATCATTAGGCTACCACGGCAACGAACAATGTTATATAAGGCTTAAATAGGGTTATAAATATATAAGCAAGTAATTTAGAATTTAATTACATAAACTATTAAGGCACAATTCAGGTCAATGTGCAAAACCTACATAAAGGTATTAATGTACTGAAAGGAACGAGATCATTTATACGCTATAATTTGTAAGTATGCAAATGTTTGAATCACGATTTTTGATAGTGAATTGCGCGTGGACGCCGAATCACATTTGGCAATAAATCATTTGAAATCGTTTTGTACAAAATCGATATATACATTTACCTATTTTGCCCTCCTTATCACAACTAACGTAATCGACATTTTTATCAAATTTGAGTTATTAACATCTGGAATCAGCAAAACGAGATCTACAACCCCCAGTAATCGTTTTTTTTATATCTTGTTTAGTTTCAGTTTTATTGTAAGCAAAAGCAGTAATTAACTTTTTTTTCTAAGCAAAAAAAGTTTAAGTGTAAATGTCTCGAAGTTATCAAAACTCAAATGCATTTACTTATGACAAGGAGGTAAGTATTAATTGACTAAGAATTGTTTAAAACTGACACCACACTTAGCATAACTAAAGTAGAATGTCCGGTTTAAAGGTAGCGAAGAAATGTGATAAACGAAATAGTTTTACATACAAAAATGCTTTGAGCATTGCGTCTCACATATCTTGATAGTTATTGCAATGTTAAACTACATTATATTAGGTACACTCAAAATACAATCGTCAATACCTGGATTAAGGTTACCATTATATATTCCTTCTAAAATGTCTTGTATTTGTCACATTATTTTGTAATACATTATCTTGACACATTTAGTTGAATGACTGGTACGTATTAAAATTTTGAAATATTTATTTAGTAAGACCCTGATTTTCTTTTATCGCTAAATAAATATTTAATCAATATAGAACTATATAGGACTGGTAGCTGTAAAGGTACTAACTTGGTGATAAATCTGTAATAGATTTCTCATAGATGGCGCTACGACTAAAAAGTCGTTGAAAGACCAAGTACAAAGACACGACGCAAGCACATAGAAAAATTCGTGAGGTCCGTTGGTTCGTTCCGTGGCTTAGTTGGTATAGCGTCTGGCACGGTATGCAAGAAGACGTCGGTTCGAATCCGACCGGATCGAAGGAATTTTTTCTGAGTGTTTTTTCTGAGTGTTCGATCTTTGTATTAATAATTAATATAGAACTAGCTAAGTGATGATACAAGGTCTCCAAGATCCAGGTGAAGCAACAATACAATGATTAGTAGCAGTAGTGCTCCTTGTGAAGGAATTCGTCCAGGGAAGTACTGCTTACCCATTTTTACCCGTAAGCAGTAATTTTAGCGTTACAGCGTTCGGATTTTGAAGGGTAAGGGTGTAAATTACAGGCACATGAGACTTGTCAACTTAGGTATGTCTCATGGTGACGGGCGCAGTGGCAGTGCACCTCAGATTTTTGCGATTTAAAGCCCTGAGTGGTATTTCAACTGTTGTAGACAGGTGTGTAGCTTACCATGATACGCACAACTTGTACGTTCCTATTTCTGCCGTCAAGCGGTTATGTGAGCATTACAGCGTTCTGTTTTTGAAAACTAAGGGTGCTTGTAAAATTACATGCACATGGGACTTGTCAAGTTTACGACTCAAGGTGACAGGCGCAGTGGCAGTGCCGCGCAGATCTTTGCGATTTAAAACTCTGACTGGCACTACAATACTACGGATAATCGTGTTGCTTACCTCCAAGCGCACTTGTTCGTCCTGTCACTTGGAATCATTCAAAGAAAAAAAATTTAAACACGAAAAGATGCCATAATTCGAATATTCTGGTACACTTAGAAATTTTTTTCATTGAAT